CAATCAAACTATGTAAATATATTTATCATTTTACGACTTCATAATTTTGTTCAAAACTTTATTATAAAGTAGCTTTTTAGTTAAGTATTAATTATGAAGCAAATCGTCACTTTAAGATATTCATAAACTTAATTTCAAAACTAATAGAAAATTAGATGAAAGTGTCTGTAATTAATTGAATATACATGTGTCACCTAAACTGAGGCTATCTGTTTAAAGCATGCAGGAAGGTGTTTCTCACGAGCTACCTGTTGTTCTTTTTTGTTTCTCTGTGACAGACTTGGTCACTTTTGAATTAAAAAACAAATGGAGGGACACAGTTTAATAATCCTACCAAACACTGCATTTGTTATCAGAAGCATATCTTACCTTCTAATTGATTTCTGATTAAGTAACCAAAGGGAAAAATTTGATCTCTTTGCAAGGTTGGAGTAGCACATACTCTGGAAGCCAGCACCATTTCACCTGCTGATCCCGGGCACTCAAAACAACACTTATGCAGGGCTCACTACCAATTGCTGACAAGGTTTGAAAGTTCCTCCTAAAACTGATCAGCTTTTTGCAAGACACAGTATTGTCTTAACTGCCAAAGGTTGACTACCATTTTAGTTAAGAAGAGATTATTCAAGTAGATATTATTTTTCCTAGTATTCGATTACAGCTAACTCCTACTTAAACTCACTTAAAACTCTTACATAGAACCATCTATCTTAACACCATCATACTGTAGTTACTACAAATTCCAGGCAGTTTTCAGATCTTATCTATAAGAAGTCATGAACCAACTGACAAAAAAAGAAAAATCCATAAATTCCTGAACTAAAACATTTATGATATGTTAACCATAGCCAAATATATGAAACAAACATTTAAATTAATGTAAATGAATATTTATTAAAATAACACCTAAGTTTTTTATACTAAATCATAGTAAAGATTGAAATCTTTAAATAAGTATGTTAAAGATTTCCAAGTTATAGTTTGGATTTTCAAAGTAAAGTAATATGATTGCGTGTGAAATCATATAGTTCTTTAATCCATTCACTTCCAGGAGTCTTCCTCTCTATTATTTTCTTTGGTGTCTAACTTTATTATGAACCCAGAACTTTTCAAGACTTTAATGTTTTAATTTTATATTAAAAATAAACTCTGTCTTAAATTACCTTTGTGTTTAGCAACTGAACCATACCACTGCACCTCAGTGAAATCAGTAAGCCATAGTATGATGCTGGAATATAATACTTTTATTTAGAAACTGGTATAAAATCCTACTCTTTACTTCAACTACAAATGTAAAAGCTAGTATTAGAACTGGACACTGGGGTTATTTTTCCCTTGTATGGTGATTCAGGCTTAGAAGCCAGTGTTTCCTTTTCAAGCATTAATATATTATTATTTCTTTTTTTGAAGTTTATTAGGTGACAAGAATGCCTACAAGAGTAGGTTTAGGTAAACATGTGGCCTTCCACTAAGCAACACACACCAAGCAAGTTGATAAAACAAATGTCAAAATCAGAAGATGAATATCTGAACTATCATACAACTTTCAACTCACTTCATCAGAAATGACAAGCAGAAACCCAACATCTGATCCTTATATTTTGCTATTTCTCACATCACTTGGCTTTATAACAATAGTGAAAGTTATTTTTGCACCATTTATTCAATGTAGTACTGAGACATTTGTTTTAAAGTGCTCCAGGTATGTAGCTAGATTACAAATAGAAAATTATGCATTAGGGGCCGGCCCGGTGGCGCACTGGATAGTGCCCCGCTTGGGAAGCGCGGCGGCGCTCCCGCCCGACGGTTCGGATCCCACGTACAGACCGGTTCCCGCTCACTGGCTGAGCGAGGCGCGGGAGCAACACCGAGGGTTGCGATCCCGTTGCCGGTCCCCGGCCCGGTACGGGGGCA